ATTATGTCATTATATAATATGTAATAAAAAAATATTAGAAGGGGGAAATGCAAACAATATCATTTTTAAGTATTTTGAAATGTGGCCTATTTCTCTAAAAAGTAAAAGTAAATGTTTATAAAATTCGTGGGCAGTGTCATAATAAATTTTATTATAATATTACATAACTCTTAGAAAAATTGGAAAACAAAGCTAGAAATTTGTGAATAAATTCACGATTATGGTCGCAGGTTGCACGAAATTTCCAATTAAGGTTTATCCAAACTTTTGGTTTCCGGAAAACTTTCCTGTGTCTGAATTCAGAAACAGTTGCAATCAAACATTAAAATAAAACCTCCATAGACAATTTTATACTTCAAGGATTGCAATCTACCAAATCTTCTTAAATACCAAATTTGAAACAATTTCGTGAGTAAATATGACTAGGATTATCAAAAAACCGAATAACGGTGGGTATCGCTATATGAAAGCTATAGGAAAACGTGGACCTAAATATTCAATGTTCTACCAGTAAAACTAAAACCCATAATGACCTACATATACCAATTTTAAGACAAATCCGTAGAAAATGTGGCAAAAATCATCAAAATACCGAATATCACCACCGGAGCTAGAACCCATTACGAACTACAAATACCAGTTTTTAGACAAATCCATGAAAAAATGTGGCGAAAATCATCAAAATACCGAATATCGGAAGGTACCGTTATATGGGGGCTATACCAAAACGTGGAACGACATTCATCATTTTCAATACCAACCATCCAAAACACAATACAAATTGTTCTATCAAATTTTGAAGCTCTGCGTCAAATAATGTGAGCTGTATTGTGATTTCAACAGAGAGACAGAGAGGCGGACATCATTAAATAGACATAGAATTTTATCTTGATCATGAATATAAATACTTTATGGGGTCTACGACGAATATTTAGGGATGTTACAAACGAAATGACAAAATTAATATGCCCTCCTTTTCAAGGTGGAGGGTATACAAACAATTAAAATTTCGACGGTGTTCCAAATACCGATTTTTCCTTTTTGCTACCGAAACAAGTAAAAAAGCTGTAAGTTCCGCTCGGACGAACTTTGAATACCCTCCAACATTTCGAACGAAATTGGCAATAAAATCCGTTACAAAATCTGTTAAAATCTTAAAAATAACGAATGTGGCCGTTATATTATAGTCTATACGAGGACGTGGACATAGGCAACTTCTGTCATAAGCCATTACAATATTCAAATGCGAAACTAGAAAAAAAGTTCGGTGAAAAATGTAGCTAATATCATCAAAATACCGAATATCGGGAGGTACTGTTACATGGGGGATATACAAAGACCTGACCTGCGCAGACAATTTTCTGCCTTAGGCTGTAGTATCCATGACGAACTCCAAATACCAAATTTGAAACATTTCCGGTGAATAATGTCGCTTTAATCACCAAGATATCGAAAATAGGGTGGTACAATTGTATGGGGGCTATACGAAAGCGTGGACCTGCACAGACATTTTTCTGTCATACGCTGTAGTATCCATTAGGAACTTCAAATATCCTCTCAATCGGGTTCTAAGTTCTAAATCCAGTCTCAAAAAGGACAAAACCTGTACGGGTTTGTCCACAACTGGAGTTAGTTGTGTATGTTTAACTGGGCAGCGAAATAGGTGCAGCGTTTCATATGGGCCTGTGCCACAAGCTGGGCAGATGTTCTGCACATCGTTGTCAATCCGGGCCAATAGGAATTGAGGCGGCAGCACCATCCGGATCTTAACTGAGCCAAAACTACTCGGGTTTTTCGGGGCAGCTCTCGCTCTTCAGCGACGATGGGAGGGGAAGATCTTCTAGTACAGTATTCACTCGATATCCTTCTATGACTTCTGAGACAGCATTTAAGTGAATACTATTCATTCCCGCTTGATAGTCCTGTTGATATAGAGGCTCCCTCTCTTACAGGTTGAGATGAAAAAACTGCATCTTACAGGTTGAGATGAAAAAACTGCATCCAACCTCAAACTGCTATCATTTCTAAGCCACTCGTCCGACAGCTGTTAAAATTGTACCAGTGACGGCTCATCATATTGTTTACAAGCGTACAAAAGAATTTTGGTGAGAATTTTCCAGAAAAAAGTTATTCCTGATGGAATTCAAGCGTGATAGTGTGATTTCTTTATATTTGGCTGAAAAACCACAAGTGGCTATCGTTAGAGCACTCCAGTATTTAAATGTGAATAAATCTTTTGTGTCTCGTACCATCGCTCGTTACCGTGATACTGGTAGCGTAGCCCGACGTCAAGGAAGTGGACGGAAGAAAACAGCAGAAATGGTTCGAAAAGTAAAGAAGTGACTTGATCGAAACCCGAGTCGCAGTGGCCTCGTGAGCTGAACATCTCGTAATATTCCATTCGGCAAATATTGAAAAATGAGCTCGGGGTAAAGTCATTACAATTCCAAAAAGTGCAAGAGCTTACACCGCAAGAGAAAGAAAATAGACTCAAAAGAGCTAAAGAGTTGCTTCGCTTGGCCGAATGTGTTGAACTGCCGAATGTAGTTTTCTCCGATGAGAAAACATTCGTTGCCCAGCAGTTTGTGAACAAACTAATTGATCGTATTTACTTGCAAAAGAGGTCAGCTGAAAATGTGAAACTTCGGTTGGCCACCAGAACTCAAGCGCCAGCCATGGTGATGGTATGGTCGTTCTCCGCTCGTATTAATCGACCGTGGCATTAGAATAAATGCCGAATTTTATCGCGAAATGGGACTCAGCACCATCGCACTCAGCAAGCACCACCCAAGAATGTTTACAAAATGAGGTTCCTCGCTTAATTTCCAGCGCAAGCAATGTTTCTTGGAAAATTCTTCCAAGGTTGTCTTTTCAGTCGTAGCATATTGTTCGCATAACTCACAATAGTATGCGGATACTTCTTTTACAAATTCCTTTCCAACCGGTGTACGTTCCTTGTCTTCGCTTTCTTCTTCTGAATCTTCGTTGGCTTCATTCAATAGTGCTTCAACATCTGCATCCATTTCATCGTCAATTTCTCCAACCCAATGGCCACCAAAATCTCCGGATACCCCGTTGAAAGCAAGGTTGGCACTAAAAAATACCAAAGTGTCGATCACCTCAAGCAAGCGCTTCGCCAGGAATGGGCAAAAATACCGCAGAGCATCATTCGGGCAGCGTGTGACGGTTTCATTGGCCGTTTGAAGGCCATAATTCGTGCCAAAGGTGACCAATACGAACAAATCTAAATTTATTCTAAAATTTGATGCTATTTTCGACATTTTTTGCTTTTATTCAATAAAATTAAAAAAAATGTAAAAATTATGCCGTCTGACTTTGTTGCAGTTTTTTTACCTCACTCTGTAGATAGATAGATACATTCATGGTACAATGAAGAGAAGGTAGGTCAACTTTGAAAAAATTGCAAGTATAGAGGTCTACCTGTTTGGCTTGTAATGTCAGAATTACTATCAAAACTATAAAAAAGCAAACAACTTGTTGCATTGATTTTGAATAAATAATTTAAAACCGCGAAAACTGAATGAATGGTCAAAGTTTCTTTTCAATATCATGTTCTATATATCTCTTATGGTTTATTTCGCGACAAAAACTGTAGATTTTGTCGATGCTTTCGTTGCAATAAGCATTTGGAAAACACCCGAATTTGAATATTTTCTGAACAATTTTTTAATATTGAAAAGAAGACACACACATAAGCAAATGAAGTTGACATATTAAGCCAGAAAAATAAAAAAATTTAAATCATATGGTAGTTCTGCCCTACCTTGAATTCATTGTACCATGGTTGTACTTGTAGCTGACAACAGACAAAAATGAAAAGTGTTGTATTTTATTTAAGATATCCCTTCTAGATAGAAGATCTTAAATAGGTATATGGATGGAATACCTAAAAAGGAGTTCTACATATATAGAAGGTTTTCATTTGGCCTTTTGTCCATCAAAAGGTCTTCTGTAGAGAGAAGGCAAAAATATTTTTTTTATAAATTACCTATCTTATACGATATCATATTTTACATTACCTCATAAGTATGCCAATGTTTAGTTGTCTCTCCCCATGATCATTTGGCAAAATGTTCATTCCTTTTTCAAAGTAACTCCTGATACATCACCCACTGGTCACCTAGCGGCATTGATGTATATTCCTTTCTAATTGCCATTTTATTAAAGCTACCGTCATTTTAATCAGATTACTTGTTTCCGTTCGCTTATTTAAATTTACTGAAAGGAATAAATGTCAATTAAATCTGTACATATATCCACCCTTTCAAATCCTAACAAAATTAAGTCAACCTTTTTATGGACTTTGTAGTTACTTGCTGAGTCATACATGTGCACATGTTTAGTAGTTGACTGCTATATGCAATATCCTCATTACACATATTCCTTTTTCGATTTATTTTCTGGCTCGGTCAACACTTGGTGCTTTTTAAAAAAATCCCCATGTTAACCTAATTAACTGGCCCTCTTCCGCTTGTGTAATAATAAAAAGGAGAAAAAGTATTACAATTTGTGTAAATGCCATAAAAACTGCAGTTGATGCCATTAAGGAGGACTGTGGAAGAAACAAAGCAAAATATTTACACAACTACATTAAATGCAATGGCCAACCTTCCAGAGAGAAAAGTGAATGTTAGAGGTTCAACACCATCGCCACCAAATAGCCATGTGTAGAATGTATGTGTTTTGTTGTTTTAAGGCAATTATTATTAAATCCAAATATGAAATTGGTTTGAACTTTTTAGTGGTGGAGTTTATTATTAAATAAGACTGCAAAGAATAATAACGGAAGTAAACTGCAGTGGAGTGAATTGGCGACCACGTTTGCCACTATGCATGAAAAGCCAAACTCTTATTTGGAAGCCATAAAGTGGTAGATTTAATGACCCACACCAAACCAAAATAATGTAACAGCAAACTCCACTTAGGTCTGTTTCAAATAAAGAAATCCTTTCTTATATTAGAGCAGGAAAACACCATAATTTGTTTATTGTTTAAAATGTATATACTCATTATTCTTTTATTTGTTTCTCCGTTTCTTTAGAGATTAAATCTGTTATGTATGTTGGTATGGTGATAGAGTAAACTAGAACTAGAATAATTGAAAAATAAAATAAAATTTAAATAGGTAAGAATATACCTAGAAATTAAAAACATTTTTTCCGAAAAAAAAAGAATCAACAAAAAATTAAGAAACATACGATGATAGTGAATGGATTATATAGTTAAAAACTAGGGATTCCATACGTTTCGCTTCTAACATTTAAGGACTCCGACGACGAATACTCAAAGAGTAATTTCTAATTAAATCTCATTTTTTCACTCATATTGTCCATGGTCTCCATTTACTCTTTGGTTTCCTCCTCAATAGCAGCCTCTTTGGCAGCGGCCGTCTTTGCAGCGTTAGCAGCTGCTTTTGTTGTTCGTTGTGGTTTGCCTTTAGCGGGAGTTGATGTTGAAACCTTTTCGGTGGTGGATGAAACATCGGTATTTTCTTCCTTGACGTTTGTCTTCTTTGTCGATTCTTCTTTTTCTTCAGATTCCTCTTCTTTCTTTCCATTTACTTCCTTGTTTTTGTGTTTTTCACTAAAAAAAGAAACAAACCAATTATAAATTATTTAAAAATTGTCGAAAAAAGTGTTTCGTAACAATAACCGTTTTAGATAACTTAGTCATTTATATTTATAAATTTGTATATGTTGATGCATAATTCGATATGTGTTTAGTTACATTTTCTTGTTCTGCTGATTAAACCATACCTTTCTATATCAATATTTAGCACAGAATCATTTTCCTCGTCTTCGTCACGTTCCTCGGGTTCAACGTGTCTCAGCAAATCACCCAAATCTTTGTCTACATCTTCCCAAAGCTTTTCATCGGCTTGAGCTTCATCGTCGACTTCCTGTTCTTCATCATTTTCTTGAGCGTCAGCCTTCTCGGCATCTTCATTTCCCTCAGTTGCTTCTTCATTGTCCTCTTTGTGTTCTTCTTCTTCTGCATCTCCTTCGTCCTTATTTTCACTTTCTGAATTATTCTTTTCCTTTGCCTCTTTACGTTTCTGTGCATTCTTTTCTTCCTCCTTGTGACGCAAGTATGCCTTTAGGTGGGATCTTTGCAAGCAATGTTTCTTGGAAAATTCTTCCAAGGTTGTCTTTTCAGTCGTAGCATATTGTTCGCATAACTCACAATAGTATGCCGATACTTCTTTTACAAATTCCTTTCCAACCGGTGTACGTTCTTTGTCTTCGCTTTCTTCTTCCGAATCTTCGTTGGCTTCATTCAATAGTGCTTCAACATCTGCATCCATTTCATCGTCAATTTCACCAACCGAATCAACAGTCATAAATTTATTCAAATCGATTTCCCGCATTTCTTCATCTCCACTGTTGTCTGAATCGGAATCTTGTTTGCGGGCCTTATTCTGTAAAGGAAAAATATATATTTACATTACATTTTTTCTACGCCAAATTTTTCGAAGACTTACTTTTATGTGTTCCAATGAACAGCGATGGGTTTCATACAATATGGGGCTCTTGAATGCTAAATGGCAAGTTGAACAGTATGGCATTAGGAACTTTTTCATAATTTTATGATGTTCCGAGAGCTGATGCTTGGCCTTAGGCTGTCTATAGTGGAGACGGCAAAGATGACAGAATTTTGACTCATAAGTCTCCTTAGATTTTTCTTCAATTTCCTTTTGTGCAGCACGTTGTCGTGCTCTCAAACGCAAGAGGTGAGCCCTTTGGCGAACAGCGATTTGACGCAAAGCTGATTTATGGACTCGCGAAGACAAATGATACAGATAATCCTAAAAAAAAAAAAAATTAATTAGTTTCATTTCATTTCAGTTGTTGCTTAAAATGCTTACCGTAAATGTAACACATTTCATGTGGCAATGAATGCAAGTCAGTTTAATGAAACGGGATGTTCCACCACCCCTACGTGAAGGACTTTCGCCACGGCGCGAAGAACGAGCCTTACGTTCTTTATCATCGTCGTCATTTCGAGATGACTTCTTGGACTTTCTATCCTTGTCATCCTTGGATTTGTCATCCTTCTTAGAAGATGATGAGCTGGACTTCTTGGTGGTCGTCGATGATTTTTCCTTCTTTGCAGAACTCTCCTTAGTTTTCTTACCTTCTTTCTTGTCCCCCTTCTCACCATCAGCATCTTTTGATGTCTTTTCCGCACCCTCTGCTGGTTCATCTTCTTCATTCTTTTCTGCTGATTCATCTTCACCCTCTACATGCTCCTTGTCATCGGCATTCGATTTTTTGTCTTCGTCGTCTTCGATTTCTTCCTCATCTTCGTCGTTATCACCCTCACCTTTAGATCTGTTTGCGTTGTTGTCTCCATCGACATCATCTTCTTCCTCATCCTCTTCGTCGTCTTCTTCGGCATTTGACTTTTCCGACTTTGAACGCTTTGACTTGCCACGCTTTGATTCTTTCTTATCATCGCTGCCCTCTTTATTATCCTCATCATTGTTCTCATCCTCGTCATCGCTGCCCTTTTGCTTGGATTTTTCCTTGTCTTCATCTTCATCACTGGATCCAGATGCTGACTTTTTACCACTCCTCGACGAACGACGTGGACTCTTCGATGATCGTCGTTCAAAACGACGTCGCCGCAGTGAGCTAAAATTGGTTTGGTTTGATTTGTGTATGTTTTAGACGATGGCGAAATGTAATCAACATATGGGAGGAAAAATACGTTTAGTTCAATTGTTTCAGGTTAGAGATGAAAAGAAATAGAATGTCAAGAAATCATAAAAATTATGTTCGAGATCAATTGCTGTCATCACAAAACGGAACGGCCGTCATTGGGGCGAGCCACTCATTCAATTGAACAAAGCAAATTTGTTCAGAATTCAATTTTGAGAATTTTCTTTCACTTCTTTTGCACTGGGCAGGGGAACTTCATCAAACATATACCTAATATCTCTCGAAGAATCGGTTCTCAGGGGAATTAGGCGTTTGTTCGCTAAAAGACCCTCTCAATATCTATTAAATTATCGATCGGCGGCAATTGTCTCAAAGTTTTCTCCCCAGTTTCTTATGATTTGATTGTGGTTTGTGTCAGTAATTGAGCTTTAAATCGTTAAGTTTCTTTGTTTTGTATGTTCAAGTATTTACCTCGTTAGGCGTGCAATTTTCAAAAGTCGTGCACGATCTTTCTGTTGAGCGTACATGAGTTTACGTCTCATTATTCTCAGATCGTTGGATTCACGGCGTACAATACGGCCAGAACCGCCGCCGCGGCCTGTTCGGACTCCGACACGATTACTAGAGCCACGTATGCGTGAGGTGAAACTGCTGCGTACCGGTGGTCTTTTACTGGGTGGTCCCATATCTGAGCGATGTCTGGACTTGGAATCATCACGATCGCTGTGTCTTGAGGAATTTCCACCTCTGTAGCCCGACGATGAACTATTCGATGTTACCACTGGTGGTGGCGGTGGTGGAGGCGTACGATTGCCCCTTCCAGTTGATGATGAAGTGCGTCTATAATCCTATATTGACGATGATGAGAACAGATTTGTAGAGGAGAATTTATATCTATTGCAATGTTTGTTTGTATAGTTTTGTAAGTTATTTGTCTTTCAACTTTTGCAGGAATTGACTAGAGTGCTGCATTTTCAACCAAACAACAACAGTATTCAGTACAATTTTCTACGCGATTCTGATTCTGATTTTTTGTGGGTTTGTTTTTGTCTTTACAAACACATTACAAGACATGAGGATGTTTCTGTTTTATAAATTGATTGGGATTTTGCTTGTTGGGAGAGAAGAGATTGTTTTATAAAGCAGCCTTGTTTGTTTATGTTTTTACATCTGCAGTAGAGAGTGAATATGAGTGAAGAATGGTGTTCAGTTTAATCTTTCGAATATATTGAATCTTATTAAAACACCATGTAGAAGAATTTTCATTTTAACATTTTAAGCTGTTTGCATATTCCTTGCCAAAGCCCAAGGTGTCAAGTCTGTCTACACATAAAAATATACAATGGTTGAGATAAGGTAAGGTTATGAGGAGGTTCATTCAATCACAAATGTTTTCTTCATCTATATATATACTCTATATACGGGTAGGTAGGATTGCCTCTCTTGTTCAATAAGCCGCATTCGTTTTTATAATACGCATATTGCTTGATCGTATGTTTTTCATTTTCTGAGCTGATCCTTTATGGAATGCCTGACTGATTTGAGTTTTCTCTAGACAATGCTCTTTATAAGTCTTTCCTTACCAAGCCACACTACTGCAGTTTAAGATAGAATTAGGTAATTCATAGAGCATTTTCGCAGACACTTTCCTATAGACTTGAGTAGTAGTCATTGATATCATGTACATTAGTAGTAGGCTAGTACTATTATATCCACATGCAGTAGAGTAGAGTTGTGAGTTTCTCAGAATATTTCTTTTGCATTGACTGTTTTCGATTTGAAACTCAACGGCATTTGACTTCCTAAATATAACTCTATGGGTTTTCGTTACAACAAAAACATGTAAAATAGTTAAATAGTTATATGGAAATGTAGTTAAATATTGACATGTATACAAACAAATATATATTTATATATGTAAAAGTACCAATACATATAGCTGTTAAGCTATATGCCTATGGTTAAATGATTTTAATAATTATATCTTCAAAGGAATAAGCCAGAACAAATATGTGTGATAATTGTCGATGTTTTACTTACGTCTTGGCGGGATCTTTTGTGATCTGAGGAACGATCGCGTGATGAGTCCTAGAAGAGGAGAATAAAAACAGGATTTAATTAAACCATCCAAATATTTAATTCTTTTTCTAAATCACACGAAAGACTGAAGTCTAGTTTATGTGATCAATCCGTAGCAATGTCGAATTCTTAACACATCTGATTTTTGAGATTTGATAACATAAATTTATGTACTTCCATATTTACAGATCAGGATTTTGAGTAGTTACGCACGATGGAGGGTAGTCAGAAATAAAAATAATATCTGTATAAATTTGAATGTACTTCTGTTTTCAGCGGACTAGCTCCGTTTTTTGTAAATTTAATATAATCTAATTTAATATCTCATCTTTGTACAAATCTTCATAGCCCTATACAATTTGTACTGATTGTCCATCCCACATGAATTCCGGACAACAAATATAGATCATGAAACCAAGTTGTTACAAAATTTTAATTACTCACCCTATAACTGCGTTTGTGTCCGGAATCGTGACGACTGGAACCGGAATTATTGAAACGATCTCTACGTGAATCATAGCGACCGTCACTATTGCTGTTGGAATTGTAACGACCAGAACGATCTGAAGTACGGCCACCGGACGATTGCATGCGGCTGTTACTATAATTTGATGAACGATACGATGAGCCACGATTATTGGAACCGCCACGGCTTCCACCGTAGCCCCTATTAAAACCACGAGCCATATCTGTTTAAATAGTAAAAATTAGTTCGATTTCATTTATTTTTTCAAAAATATGTTAATTTTTAAAACGCTTAAAATGCAACCTCCAATTATCACATTGTGTATGTATCTAAGATAGCAGACCGGCGTCTATTGGGGTGCCGGAGAAAAAATGAATTTCTTTTGCATGGCTCCCAGAGCCAATACACACGTAATATGTCCAACTTTTGGAAAGCTCATTTATTACCTCTTATTCGGGATAATTCCTTGTTTATGTTTTCTTTTATATTCTTGTGATATTAAATCCACTATCTTCAACTTCTTTTTGAAAATATACAACTTTTTTACACTTGGAAAACACGCGAAGAAAATTTTCACAAGCTTCTTTCAGATTATAATTTAATTTGATGTTCGTTGGCAACTCGCACGTATGGTTATGGAAGAAGGCGAACGTTGCCAATTCAATGGAGTTGCCAAACACATTATTAGGGTTTAACTGATTATAAACCAAGACGTAAAAGGGTTTAGAGTAACACTGCCTTTACACGGTGACATTTTTTAACCATGCCATTTTTCTTTGTTGGTAAAAGGTGTAGAGGGACAAGGATAGAAGAAAAAATGGCACGATAAGCCACCGCACAGGGTTACATGCCATTTTCTTTGCACTTCTCTTTTTGCTTCTTCTGAATTTTTTATGATTTTGACCTTTCATATCGTTTCTTTATTGTAATTTTAGATGCGTTTCTTTTATTGCGATGTGATGTTTTTAGTGATTGAATTGTATAGTGAATTATATGAAAATTAATTGGAAGTATTAAAATGTAAAAAAAGAAAGTTAAAATAAAAGTTAATAATGCTATATTTAACACCTCAATAACTTTTTCCATCATTTCTTCTTTAGATTCACACATTTAATTTTAAATCACTTCTTTATAAATATCTGTTACAAACAATTAGCTCTATACGAAATACTGAATAAAATAAAATATCAGAAAAAATGCCAAGCACTATTATCGTAAAATGCCACCGTGTAAAGGCTCGAAGATTTACGCAGAAATTTTAAAAGAGAATTGATAAAAATGCCAGCTAAAAATTGCACCGTGTAAAGGCAGTGTAAAACAGAGTCAATATTTGGGCCGTTGCTACATAGTTTTTCGTCGTCGAATATATTGGAAGTTCATGCCGGAAAACACATCAACGCCCAGCGTTGCTGTAATTTTTTCTCTGTTGTTGTTGTATTTAGCTTACTCACAACACAAAACAAATATCAAACTTTGGCCTGTTAAAAGCCTTTTTATGCCAAAACGCGTTTGAAGCGTAAGTCCAAGCAGATTTTTACCATGAACCAATACACGCCACGCGAGCGCTCTGAAATAGTTGAAATTTACATTCAACAGAAGAAGTCAATTGTGAAAACTCAACGAACAAAATTATTATGTCCAATGAAGCCCGTTTCACATTGAATGGGAAAATAAGCAAAATTGCCGTTTTTACGCCACTGAAAATCCTCAGGAGATTCAAGAAGTGCCTCTTCATGACGAAAAAGTCACAGTTTGGTGCGGCGTTAGTGCGAAAACGGCAATTGGGCCGTTTTTCTTCCAAAATGAAAGTGGCCATGCTGTTACCATCAATCAGGAGCGTTATCGCGACATGATGACCAATTTTGTGATGCCAATTATTCGTCGAAAGCGTATGAGGCAGTTCTGGTTTCAACAAGACGGCGCTCCACCGCACACAAGTCGCATAACAATCGATGGGTCCGTCGAATATGGGCAACCCTGTACTTCTTCAACTTCAAATGCGAAGTTAGACACAATTCCGGTAAAAATGTCGCTAAAACCATTAAAATCAAATCAAAATACCGAATATAGTAGGCACCGTTATATGGGGGCTATACTAAGACTTGAACCTGCATAAACAATTTTCTGTCACAGGCTGTAGTACCCATTAGGAACTCCATATGCGAAATTTGAAACAATTCCGGTGAATAATGTCGCTAAAATCATAAAAATACGGAATATTTGGAAGTACCGTTATATGGGGGCTATATGATATCGTGGGCCGATACAGCTTATCTTCGAACTTCAACATTTTGAAAACACCGAATTTTAATATTTTCTGAACAATTTTTTTGTTATTGACAAGAAAACACATACATAGACAAATAAAATTGACAAACTAAGCCAAGAAAATAAAAAAATTAAAATCATATGTTATCATAGCCCTATCTTGATTTTATTGTACCATGCTTCCTCATATGACCCTTCATATAACATATAAACATGATAAGAGGCATATGTGTAAACTAGACCACAGAGGCAGATAAGTGCCCGTCACTGTTAAAGGTACCCCCCTTACGGCATTGCCAGGTTAAAATAATATTTATGTTTTTATTTGCCTTCACCTGACGTTTGCCAAAAGAAAAAAAATATTGTAGATTGATTAGTAAGAAGGAAAATAGTGGAAATACATTGAATTCGATTGCAAAAAATCGTGTAATTTGTTAATTCTCAGCACAAAAAATTAAAAAACAACATTTGAACGTTTATAAAATAATCTTCGAAATCGAAGTTTTCCCTCGGCATTTGTGTTTTTGCAACAATTTTCACGGAACAAAGAGAAAACAAGTTGGGCCAAACTAATACGAGTAGACTGGCTGTCAAAAAATAAGAAGAAAAAAAAAAAAACAGCAAACGAAAAGAATTGTAATAACAAATAAGAAATAGAGAATAAATAAAATATAGCCCATTTTTTCTTTTGTAGAAATTCAAGGCAACAAAATACTAGCTACGAAATTCATTTGATATTGTGCCAATACAAATTATCCAATTGGAAATAAAAAGGAATTGTCCTTTATTTTCTTTACGGTGGAGTGGTAATAAGATACCCTCCCAATTAAGTGTATCCAATAGACTGATATTCTTCGTTCGGAGTCATTGAGATAGTTTTATTGCATCTTTCGTCTCCGGCAAAAAAAAAAAATAAAAGAAAGAAAGGCGAAAGTGTTGCGTGAGTGTGTGCGTTCTATTGCATTTTACTCTTTTGGTGTATCTACTACGTTTCATCCATCACATCCACCACAAGGCTTACACTACGAGACGAACGAACATGGCCAATACTCTGGAGGAACAACAAAGTCTACGAGAATGTGAAAACTACATACAATCTCATGGCATACAACGCGTGCTCAAGGATTGCATTGTGCAGCTGTGTGTCAGCCGCCCCGAAAATCCAATACAATTTTTAAGACAGTATTTTCAGAAATTAGAAAAGGTAAGCGAACCCTGTGTGTTTCTTGTTTGTGTCCTTGTTTTGTATATTCTCAAAAGAAAGTAAATGAAAGAAGGGTTTAGATGTGGATGACTTGATTGATGCTGATCAGAAATACATTTTGAGTAGGATATAAGATTCAGTCCAGGCTTACTGATGTAAGATATATTTAATAAGCTTAAGAATAAGTTTCAAAATATTTTTTTCATGATCAATATTTAGATTTTAATATTTGAAGTAATTGGTACACATTGTGGAAATTCTTGGGAGGATCTTAAAAACTACTAAAATCGGACGAAACACGTATATTTTGTTCTATCCGATTTGTACATCGGTAACATACCCGAGAAATATTGAAAACTTCACCCTTTAAGAGCAAATGTTGTAGCGTAGGCGGATTGATTAGCAAACTTCCAAACGAATCCCTACCACCCTCCAGAAATTCGCATTTGAAAAAAGACATTTTTCACTTGGTACGATACGGCACTGTAACGAAAGCATATGGTTATGCTGACATACGGGCACCTGTAGACCATGTCATGAAGAGGCACGCCGTCCTAGTTCTCAGGGCGGCATTCTATCAGGTCTGAATACTTTTCCATTCCACAAATCGACTTATTGCTTTTTGGGCTTCTTGTTTTAGAATTCCACGTACGACTGACGTTCACGCGTTGGCGTTGATTATCTACCGTTTTAAACTTGGCCGGAGGGTAGTTTTCCCTACATCCTCATCCTCAAACAGTGTGACGTGTTTGCAGGACTGTTCTATGGCACAGCTTGTTGTGGTTTAATCCTCGACTGATATGTGTGGACGATTTGCTATGTTGTGGACGGAATTCGGGTGGATGGTTGCCGAATGGATAGCTTCATCTGATGCTGGGGAGGAGTAAAGCTTCAATAGCCTTTGCTACTATAGACAAATGCAAAATTGGCCTTTGCTGGTATCTTTACTTGGCTTCATTGGCCGGATACCCCACGGCCCCTTTTCCAGATTTCAGAAACGATTTAGATGGCTAGCGCCAGGTTAAGAACTTTTGTGAGCTACTCAACCCCCGGCGTATCCAGTTGTTTCAACGTTACCATTGAGATTCCGTCTAAGCCCCATGTTTTGGACGACTTAGCGTTTCGGGTGACATTTGCAACATAACCCATCGTAGACTGTGGCAGTATCTCCTTGGCGAAAAGAGATCTGATACGATGTAGTACTCTTTGTTTCGCCCTATCGATCTAGCGGTACTCGACAAATTGTTGGTTAAAATATACAGCGCACCTCTTTAGATCAGTCACCGCTAAGTGACTGAGGTCCTATCATCATTTTCTCAGAGTTCGAGAGCGATTTAGCCGTTACCCACAGCTTGCTCACATCGGTTCAAATATTGCAACACTTCAGATGGTCTAGCCAATTTATCGTCTTATGCTCCTCTACTCACCGGCTAACGTCCACTGTCCATTCACTGTTTGTGGGATCAGTAGTGTTGGAAAAAAGCAGATCATCACGCTCATTTGCTGGTCCTGCTGGGAACTTTGGTCTTATTTCGGGTATTCCATCAGCAGCTTTGTTGATGTCCCGGAAAATCTTTTCTGCTACCCGAACATCAGGTTGGGCAGTTCTTTGAAGCGAAGGTTACTGAAGTCTCTAAATTCTGGCCAGTGAGCTTTCGCATGTTTAAGTAAATTGCGGTATCCAGAGGTTATGAAATCCGGCGATCTGCTTATATAGACGGTTATCGGGAGATGGTCTGACCCAAAAGAAATAACGTCATTTATCAGACCAGGTGGCATCATGGTTAAGTCTGGTGAACTATTACACTCTCCTAGCGAACTATGACACTTTCGGATGGGGTACCCTCGTTTACCGTACAGAATGTGGAGAAGTCATTCTGTTCCGACAGTGCTAATCCCCTCTGGTCATTATTAAGGATTGTTCACCCATTATAGGGGAGTTACCAGATGAAGTAGGCTGATCTTGCCCCTAGTCGCACTTGATCTAAGCCTTATACAAATACTATAATGAACAAAGTTTAAACCAAATCGATTCGCTCTTCGATTTTTGAGGGAAGAAGTTGTCGAATTGCTCATATTTGTGTCCGGTTTCAGTTTAGTAGGAATATTACGACGCTAAAAATTAACAGTTGTAAATGACGTCTTAAATAAAATGTATTGTTATCTTTTGCATTGTTTTTGGTTTAGCAATTGTAACTATGCGATATAAATATTGACGCTTCTCAATCCCATTTTTTTGTTCCTCCGTTTGCACGTGACACTGGACATTGCAAAATATTCAACTAAAAGTTTCGATCATTGATTAGAAGGGATAATCTTTTATCACTAAATTCTTTTATTACCTCTTTCAATTAAAGCCTACAATTATAGCTGTTGCATTGGAATTTGGAGAGTTTATTTGTTTTACATTCTTTGCTTCACAGACGAAGAGACCGCCAGAGACATTATTCATCCATTAAGGTATGCATCGACGAGCAGACGAATTACATTGAATGTCACCAAATATTTACAAACAGCTTAACAAGTAGGCAGAATAACACAATAAAGGGCTGTACGAAAGCATAACAAAAAAGTAAAAACAAAAAAGTGAAACACCTTGTCCACATGTACAGGACAATACGCAAGCACTTAGTTGTGAAATAATGGGATGACCATGTCTGATGTAAATTGGAAATGTGTAAAAAAGATGCAGCTTGTCTATACAAAAAAATCTGTGGGGAAATTAGGAAGATTTATTCTAGGAAAGTTTCGAAATTTTTCGAAAAATTATGAATTTTTGATAGATTCAATTTATTCAATAATTACGGAAAAAATCCTGTAGATTTTTAAAGTAGAGCTAAAATTGAAGGCACGTGTATTGGCGTTTTGAAAATTCCAATCGGAAAGTAACCTAAAAAGAGTTAAACAATTTCCTTCAATTTTCTTTTTTAAAATACAAATTAGGATTTCTTGGAATTTGCGCATTTTAGATACGAGGCGAGTCATCGAATTGGTTTTTTTTTTTTTTTCAAAATATAATTTAAAATTAGCAAGCAAAAATATTCAACAAAGCTATTTGACATATGTATATACAGGGTGAGACGAAAAAACTGCAACAAAGTCAAACGCCATAATTTTTATTTTCTATTGAATGAAAGCAAAAACTGTCGGAAATAGCATCAAATTTTAGAATTTGTCACCTTTAGCACGAATTATGGCCTTCAAATGGCCAATGAAACCGTCACGCGCTGCCCGAATGTTGCTGTGCGGTATTTTGGCCCAATCCCGGCGAAACGCTTGCTTAAGGTGATCGACACTTTGGTATTTCTTAGTGCTAATCTTGCTTTCGAAAATACCTTTGACACAATGGTCAAACGGATTGGTATCCGGTGGCCATACGGGGTTTAAATTCCAGAGATTCGTAATGTGCACTTCACAACAGTTACATTTAGTGTCAGATATCAGATACAACTCAGAAATATCTCTGCCAAATTTTATCGATATCGGTTCAGATTTTAATATAGCTCCCATTATATCTTTATCCGATTTGACGTTTATTGCGCACTAAATGTTTAATATCAGGCTGAATAAAATGAATATCGGCACATATGACCCAATTCAGCAAAGAAGAAAATCTATCAAATTTGATGAAAATCGGTTGGGATACAGCTATAGCTCCCATATATACAAGGTGAGATGAAAAAACTGCAACCAACATCAGACTGCTGTCATTTCTAAGCCACTCGTCCTGTTAAAATTATTCCAGTGACAGCTCATTATATTATTTACAAGCGTACAAAAGCATTTTGGTGAGAATTCCAGAAAAAAAGTTATTCGTAATGGAGTTTAAGCTTGATAGTGTGATTTCTTTTTATTTGGCTGGAAAGCCACAGGTGGCTATCGTTAGAGCACTCCAGCATTTAAATGTGAATAAATCTTTTGTGTATCGTACCATCGCTCGTTACCGTGATACCGGTAGCGTAACCCGACGTCAAGGAAGAAATCAGCAACATCAGCAGGAATTGTTCGAAAAGTAAATAAGCGACTCGATCGAAATCCACGTCGAAATGGCTCGTGGGCTGCACATAACGCAATATTCCATTCGGCAAATATTGAAAACTGAGCTCGGGGTAAAGCCATTGAATTCCAAAAGGTGCAAGAACTTATACCGCAACTGGAAGAAAATAGACTCCAAAGAGCTAAAGAGTTGCTTCCCTTGGTCGAAAGTGGTAAACTGCCGAATTTGGTTTTCTCTGATGAGAAAAAATTCGTTGTCCGTTGTCTTGCCAAAGAGGTCAGTTGAAAATGTGCACCTTCGGTAGGACACCAGAACTCAAGCGCCGATCATGGTGATGGTGTGGGCCACCATAACAGCCGATGGTCGTTCTCCGCTCGTATTAATCGACCGTGGCATCAGAATAAATGCCGATTATTATGACGAAAATATTCTGGAGGGTGTATTACAGCCTTGGGCACGCAAACATTTTAACCGCAGATCTTGGACATTCCAACCACCAAAATCTTCGGATACCAATCCGTTGGACTATTGTGCCTGGAGTATTTTGGAAAGCAAGATTGGCCCTAAAAAATACCAAAGTGTCGATCATCTCAAGCAAGCGCTTCGCCGGGAATGGGCCAAAATACCGAAGACCACCATTCGGGCAGCGTGTGACGGTTTCATTGGCCGTTTGATGGCCATAATTCGTGCCAAAGGAGGTCACCTTACTCAAATATATATTATGTCTGCAGGACTTTTGGTATTGAAAATGGACCATGTAGGTTCACGTTCTGGTATAGCCCCCACATAATAATACCTCCCTATTTTCGGTATTTTGGCGATTTAAGTGATATTATTCACCGGAATTGTTTTAAATTTGGTATTTGAAGTTCGTAATGAATACTACAGGCTATGACAGAAAATTGTGTCTGCACGTCCACGTCTTCGTATAGCCCTCATATAACGGTACCTCCCGATATTCGGTACTTTGATGATTTTAAAGACATTATTCAACGGAATTGTT